GGATGCTGAATCAGCATCCATACAATGACCAACAGCAGCAGATACAGTAACCCGGCAAAAAAAACAAAAACAAAAAAAACAGTCAGCAGCAGATTGGCTTTTTTTGTTTGTTACTGTGGTGGGTTATTGTCCAGGGGCATGGAACAGAAGGAGGAGGTAGTGAACAGTATTCAGCATCCCCTGGTGAATGAAGCTGTTTGTAAGTCTGGTGGAGTGGGCCTGAAGACTCTGATACCTTCTCCCTGAAGGCAGGAGTCTGAAGTGGGAGTGTGCGGGGTGGGAGGTGTCATCAGCAATGCTGATGGCTCTGCGGGTGAGGTGGGTGTTGAAGATGTCCATAAGGGAAGGCAGAGGGGTACAGATGATCTTGCTGGCTGTTTTCACTATGCGTTTGCAGGTCCTTCTGCAGGAGGCAGTACAGGCTCTGTACCACACAGTGATGCAGCCAGTGATGACGCTCTCAATGGTGCCCCGGTAGAAGGAGCACATGATGGGGGATGGGACACTGGCTCTCCTCAGTTTGCGGATGAAGTAGAGGTGTGTTTGAGCTTTTTTGGCCAGTGATGTGGCGTTGTTAGTCCAGGAGAGGTCCTCAGAGATGTGCACCCCCAGGAACTTGGTACTGCTCACTCTCTCCACTGCAGCACCATCAATGGTCAGTGGGGGATGCTTTAGAGGTTTTCTCCTGAAGTCCACAATGATCTCTTTAGTCTTCCCCACATTGAGGGAGAGGTTGTTGTCCTTACACCACTGTACCAGTTGGCACACCTCACTCCTGTAGTTGGCCTCATTATTGTTGGTAATGAGGTCAACTACAGTCATGTCATCCACAAACTTGACAATTTGATTGGTGCTGTAAGTTGGCACACAGTCGTAGGTCAGCAGTGTGAGGAGCAATGGGCTGAGCACACACCCCTGCGGAGCCCCTGTGCTCAGCATGATGGTCTTGAAGATGTTGCTGCCAACCCGCACATTTTGTGGCCTCCCTGTTAGAAAGTCCAGCACCCAGTTGCAGAGAGGTTTTGAGTCCCAGGTGTCTGAGTTTTTGTGTAGCTGCTGGGGAATGATTGTATTGAATGCTGAACTGAAGTCTAGGAACAGCATTCACACATAAGAGTTCTTTGAATCTAGGTGGGTGAGGGCTGGATGGAGAGCAGCAGTAATGGCATTCTCTGTGGACCTGTTTGACCTGTATGCAAAGAGAAATGGGTCGTGAGAGGGAGGAAGGATAAACTTGACATTCTGCATGACCAGCCACTCAAAGCACTTCATAATAATTGAAGTCAATGCTACAGGCCAATAGTTATTGTAAATAGTTGGGTGGGGCTTCTTTGGAATTGGAATTATTGTGGGGCAGGTGTTGAAGATGTCCGTAAGGGAAATCAGAAGGGCACCGATGATCTTGCTGGCTGTATTCACTATGCGTTTGCAGGTCCTTCTGCAGGAGGCAGTACAGGGTGAATCACCGAGTGTCTTTGCTTTGATTTTCCAAAAGTTTTCATCCATATGCAGGATACGAGCACATCCCACTGAGCCAAAGTCATTGTCTTTTATTGTTTCATGCTCTATGTAATCACAACAAAGCAACAGCTGGCAAAAAATGTTCATCTAATTGCTCATAAAAATAAACTGGAATTGGAAGTAAATGACAAAGAAATGAAATTTTCATGTTTAGCATTTGTGACATATTTTTGGCAAACATCTGTGTGAATGGAGGAGCGGATATGATTTGGGTCTAATTTCAACAAACACCCCAAGAGTGAATGTAACAATAAGAAAAGTAATCAATAAGAAGATTTAAGTACTGCTACTGTCACAATCACATAAACAATAGCAACAAAAGCTAATACTTCACCACAGTGTATCTGCAATTTCTGGCCTGTTTTTGATTGGTGCTGTAAGTTGGCACACAGTCGTAGGTCAGCAGTGTGAGGAGCAATGGGCTGAGCACACACCCCTGCGGAGCCCCTGTGCTCAGCATGATGGTCTTGAAGATGTTGCTGCCAACCCGCACATTTTGTGGCCTCCCTGTTAGAAAGTCCAGCACCCAGTTGCAGAGAGGTTTTGAGTCCCAGGTGTCTGAGTTTTTGTGTAGCTGCTGGGGAATGATTGTATTGAATGCTGAACTGAAGTCTAGGAACAGCATTCACACATAAGAGTTCTTTGAATCTAGGTGGGTGAGGGCTAGATGGAGAGCAGCAGTAATGGCATTCTCTGTGGACCTGTTTGACCTGTATGCAAAGAGAAATGGGTCGTGAGAGGGAGGAAGGATAAACTTGACATTCTGCATGACCAGCCACTCAAAGCACTTCATAATAATTGAAGTCAATGCTACAGGCCAATAGTTATTGTAAATAGTTGGGTGGGGCTTCTTTGGAATTGGAATTATTGTGGTGGGATTCTTCTATTCTATTCTATAGCCAGTGGGGAGAAGCTAATATGGGAGAGATATGATCTTAGGTAAATATAACAGTGCCATCTGTGTAGCAATAGAAATTTATTCTGGAGTTCCTGATAAGATTGCCTAAGAGGCGCAGGTACAAAGTAAAGAGAATTGGACCTAGTACAGAGCCCTGTGGAATGCCATATCTTTAGTCTATAATAAGATATTCTGATCAGTGGTGTAAGATTTTATTCTTATAGGCTCTAGTTACTTTATAAGCTTTAGTTACTTTTCATAAATTTAGTTTCCTTTAGTTACTTTTCAGTTAATTTTCTTTTAGTTACCTTTCATACTATTATTTTCCTTGTTTATACATATTAAAACTGTACTGATGACTGCTGTATTCTACTGAGTGAAACTTTGGAACTCTATGCTACAAATTCTGTAGACAGGATGTCTGTACCTTCAAGTAAGCAGATAACCTATTTTACATTTTAACAAAGACCTGTTGGCCTGTTTTGCACCTTCAACTAGGCCCATTTAGCATACTCACTAGGTCCTGCTTTGTCCTGCAATAGCCTATACAGATAGAGGGTCTGCAGCGCAGACAACCAATTGTTCAGTGTTCATTGATCAAGTTGCCGACTGAATACCACAACACACACACACACACACCTGGTTTCTATCACATTCCAGCAAGCAGGCGTGAATAGAGGTTGGCCAGCTCACGCCAAATGGCCAATAGGATTATGAAGTGTGAAATGTTATACCTCTGTCCAGGGCGGACCAGCCCAAGAAGATAAATGTAATGAGACAACATAACCTGTGGCTCAGAGAACGGATTTCCTGCATGAGCTCTGTCTCTCTGATCCCAGCGCTGTAAGACTTCACCTGTGCCCAGACTTTGAGTAAACTGTCTGTTGATTTTAAACAGTCCTCTCCTGTCTTCACTTCTCACGCTTTCAATAAAAGAACTTGGGTAAAAATTTAACAGTGGGATCCCAGTACTGGGATCTAGAAGGACAAGTACAGATACAAATCATTTGTCTGAGGCTAGGAGGCAACTTTCACCAGTGCAGTTTCCGTGCTATGATGGATCCTGATTGAAAATCCTCAAACAAATCATTCTTGTGCATGTGGTCACATAACTGTTTTGCAACAGCTTTTTCAAAGATTTTAAAAATAAAGTGGAGACTGGATATTGGTCAATAATTAACTAGAATGCCTGGGTCAAGAGTAGCCTTTTAGAATGGTGGTGTAATTCCAGCAACCTTAAAAGCCTGTGGAACATAGCCAGTTAATAGTAAAGGCTCTATTCTATTATAAAGCCACGTCCAGTTCTTTCAAACCAGGAACTCAGTAAGACGAAGCGGACCACTTGAGTATATAAAAAAATATAACCGTGCTGGTTTATTCAAAGGGTCACAGGCAAGAATTAACATTACACGTCCAGGCATCTTCCACCCCCAAAACTGCG